GATAATACAAATGATATGGTTATGATAATAACAACTAGAAAATCTACAATTTCTGGGAAAATTGTGTGAAGTGTTCTTGCCTCCACCAGTAGTCTACAACTGGAGTGGGCGGAGTAACTGGGTGGAGTGGGCGGAGTAGTAACTGTTGTGTGGTTGGAGTGGCTGGAGTAACTGTGAAAAGGTTTGACTGGGCAGAGTAACTGTATGGAGTGTTTGGAGTGAGTAAAGATAGTAAACATTACACTAACCAATTAATTGATCAAATTATAAAAGTGCACATGGCAAGTGTGATAGAGTGAGAAATGCATTTCAACTTTTAAAAATGTGAGGTGGCTAGAGTGCAGTTTCAATGAATGTCAATGGGCGGCGTGAGTTGCAAACAAATGGTCAGATTGTGAAAACTATCAGGACTATGGCTTAGCCGTGGACATTTGTAGTGGCAGCAGAGATAGCTGAATGTTTTGATATAAGATTTGTGTAGGCGGGCTTGAAAATGAGGGAGTGATGGCAGTTTAGAAATCATGTCCTGATTTTTCAGCTCACACTCTAGCTTCTGTCAGCTCCCACTCTAGTTTTGAACATTCCGCCATTCATTCCTATGGGACCAATTTCACCACAAAAACGCCGATATTTTGTGAACCATTCGGCGAAACGTTCCACAAAGTAGTAGCGCACCAATCGGGAACAATCCGCACGTTTCAGTATATTACTGTCTATGTAGTGTAAAAACTGTGGGAGGAGTTAGGGTGGTAAATTTGGCTATAATAATAATATATATGTGAGATAACAGGAAGTGGTCGTCATGCAAGAACACTTAATAATCAATATAAAAGGTTCACTGCATGATTCTACACAGCTAACCTGATGAAGAAGAAATACAGAACCAAATGTTACTTTAAGGTGTGTTTCTCAACTCCAGTCCTCATGGACCCCCAACAGGTCATGTTTTCAGGATTTCCCTCAGATGAAAACAGCTGTGGTAATTACTAAGGCAGTGAAACTGATCAAATCACCTGTGCAAAATAATGGAAATCCTGAAAACATGACCTGTTGGGGGTCCATGAGGACTGGAGTTGAGAAACACTGCTTTAAGGTAAGGTTAAGGTTGATGTTAAGGTAGTAGCTCTGCTATATGCTTTTCAATTTATCATTTTCATTAAATTTCAGGACTTGAAAAGTATGGACGATTTCAACTTTGCAAATTTAGTATCAGCCATTACAAAAATTAGGAATCAATATCATGTATTCATGCATCAACATATATTAATTCACAGAGGGTGATTTAATATAATGTATTCCTTTTTACTAGAATCCGCTACTATCACTTCTAATAACTGGACAAATTAAAATGCAAGAAAATATCAATGTATTCCCCTTTACATACAGTAATTGGCTGTTTAAAGTAAACACTGGTTGTCTGACATAAGGCACACACCCTTTAGCAAATTGTTATATCAGAAGGAGACATATTTTATCTCTGTCACCATTAAACAGCACTCCTACACTGTGACATCAATACTTTAATTATGATCCATTTTATGTCACTAAAAAATAAATAAAAAAAAAATAAAATAAAAGCTTAATCTCCAGTAAATAGTTCCTTTGTTTTGCTTTTTTCATTGTTTTTAAAGAAATGTTGTTAGCACAACTTCATATTATAAATGATTACTTTTGGCTAAAGAAATCATTTTACAAGCGTCTGATTTTTTGCAATCAGTTGCCCCTGAGCGATCTAATGGACTTCACTTCATTATGCAACCACTCATTAAAAGCCTTGTATCTACTAAAATTGTATCTACATAAAGTGATCTATGAGAGTGCTGCATTCGTTTAGCAGACACATCTTTAATTTTACTCATTCGTCTTAATTTTTTGTAATCATTTTCTGTAAAGAGGGTATAATGTCAGCCTTTGCTTCCATGCTACTGACAGATCCAATCTTGCAGATAATTACCATAAGGAAATTGATGCTTTAGTGTGCAAAGGAGAATTTAATTTACTCAGACATCCCACAGCACAATGCATTCCAAAGGATATCAGGATTTCATTTTTTTTCAGAAATTAAATAGTACTATATAACATGATTACTTATTACTGAACACATTTTACAGCGTTTTTAAATAGTTTGATGTGATCACACATATACATTAAACATAAATTGCAAACTTTTCTTTGATTATGAATTAAACGCTTGCAAAATTGTGGAAAATGCATTGTAATATGAAACCTGGCAATATACTGTTCCTAACAAGTATACATTTTATTGTGTTCAAAACAAGCACACAATGGGTCTGATTTACTAAATAAAATGTGCATACACTGTCACAATGATGTACCTGCAAACCTGGTCAAACAGCCAAAGCCAACACTCATAGTATTTGTGAATGCAATGCTCACAGCCATGCACACAACTGTGATGGTACGCATATGGATTATTTAGTGGCTAATATAGGTGTCCGTTTATGAACCAGCGGTAATAGATCGCTGCTCAGTTCTCCGGCATTCTCGAGAACACAGTTCTCCTGTGAATGCAGTTTATGAAGCAGTTCTCCGAACGAAGGGAGAAAGGTCTCCAAACGCTGGAGAACGGTCTACAAACTCTAGAAAACGGCTGATTTTACTATAATCTCGCGAGATTACAGTAAAAGATCAGTTTACTAAGCAGAGGTAAATTATCTCTGCTTAGTTTTCGGTCCCTCCGATTCTCCAGCTCTGGGCTGGAGAATCTGGAGGGAGAACACAGATCTCCAGAGAAGGGCTGACATGATCTCCTGAGTGTCATAAACTGTGAATGACCAGAGAATAGCTGAGATCTATTGAATCGCAGCTATTCTCTGTGTCATAAACGGCCACCATAGTTTGCTCAACTGCACATGCTCCAGTACCTAAACATACTGTATGCTAGAAAAGTTGTAAATTCCTAAAATGAGGTTTTCCTCCAATGTCTATCATGCATATGTTATCTATTTTGCACTCATATATTAATACTGCAGTGTGCTCTGATAAAATTGAAGTTGATTGCAGAAAGGACCATACTGTGTGCTTTGTATAGACATGTTTTGGCCATGAAAAAAGCAGTTTTAACACAGCGCTCAACAGTATAAGTGAATAATAATAAAAATAAAAAAATTATAACAAGTTATAACGTGTCCATCCACATCCAATGTGTAATGCAGTGTTTCCACTTCTATATTGAATCCTTCTTCATAAAGTGCACCATGCTCTGCAAACCATAAAGTGACTTCATGCTCAAAAAACACACAATGTGATCTGTGATGTGATCTGTGCCCACTCCTTTGACCACACTCACCAGATAAGATGGACCCCCTGCTGTTAGCAGAAGAGTCAAATGAGCTCCTTCTGGTGAGGAATGCCTCCCTTATTCCACTCTATGTTGTTCTCCACTCTTCTTTAGATATTCAGCTCCATTTAACCTCCCTGGCGGTATGATTATTTCAGATTTTTTGTGCTGAAAGCGGTACCATTATTTTACACTGTTCTACTAAAATCAACTCAAAGACTCATGTCTAAAAAGTTTCTTATTAAATAAAATCATTCATAGAATGTTTCTATGTGAAATGGTATATAGATTTTTGGTGTGGCATTTGGTATCCTAGGAACCTGGAGGAGATCTGGATGTCTCTTTTTGGTCAATGTTCTTGTGATATAATAAGAAGTGCAGCAGTAATAAGGAGATGGTCTTCCTTGGTAATAGCCATACTGTATATTGGGTAACTTGTATTTGTCATTTTCCATACATTAACCTCCCTAGCGGTCTGATTATGTCTATATTTCTGTGCTCTAAGCGGTACTTTTTATGTATGGAAATATGTAGTTTTTTTATTGTAGGCTGTAATATTTAGGAATAACTCACTGAAATCTGTCCGAACAAGAGTCTAGTAAACATCCCGGGGTAGGATAAAATTTGAAACACAAAATCATAAATTATAATTTAATAAATAATCATAAAAAATAATATAAATAATACATTTAATTCAATAATATAATCAAACCAAAAACACTGAAATTTGAAATAGAGCGCCAAGTTCACACATTGCTGAGCAAAGTCGCAAAATTGTTTTCAGTGTCTGATGACGCATTTCTCCACAAATCATTATCACTCAATTCTGCAAGTGGTTCTGATTTACTATCGCTGTTCTCTAGCTGATCTAAACCCGCTTTTGACCTAAAGGGACGCTTTGTGGACGCCATGGACTTTTCTAAGTTTCCAGGCAGAAAGAACAGTCAAAATGCAGACAGGGGACAGGACAAAGCACTCGGGACAAAATGTATGTGAAATGGGTTGAAACAGCAATGTTTTACTATGTAAAATTAGTTTTGAAAAAAATTACGTTTTTAAAAAATTTTCAAATTTCCCGCCGGCACCCGTACGTCCCGATGTCACAGGGACCGGAACACAGAAGCCGGATGCCGACATCAGCCGGAGGATATGGCTGGGGATGCTGCAGGGGACGCATCACGGGAGCGCAGGACAAGGTAAGTGCTGCAGGGACTCCCTATACAGCGCCGCATGGTAAGCCCGAGTGTAGTTTGGGGTTACCGCTTTTGGTACTGAAACTTTACCCCGAGCTACACTCGGGAATACCGCCAGGGAGGTTAATGATGTGAGGTATAATGGCTATGAGTAAGGGTGACTGTTCCTTCAGGCACAGGAAATCAGATGAAAAGATGGAACCATCACAGTGTAGTATTCATTTTTATTTAGAAGATAGAGAAATTGCACTTACACCTAAAAATCACACAATATCCACTTTGAACAAGACCTGTTAGGGCAGCTGAATCACAGTCTAGGAACGCCGCTGGACCCCGTGTGTTCCACGGGACGGATGTGACATCACCAGAAACTGGGAGCTCTGTCCAATGCGTTTTACCCCCTCCCACTTGGCATCTTCAGAGACAGCATCTTTTCATATACTGCTGCTTTTGAATGATAACTTTAACCTCCCTGGCGGTATTCCCGAGTGTAGCTCGGGGTAAAGTTTCAGTACCAAAAGCGGTAACCCCCCCGAGCTACACTCGGGCTTACCATGCGGCGCTGCTCAGGGAGTCCCTGCAGAGCTTACCTTGTCCTTCAGTGTCCCCAGCCATCTCCTCAGGCCGATGCCGGCATCTGGCTTCCGTGTTCTGGTCCCTGTGACGTCGGGACGTACGGGCGCCGGAACCGGCAGCAAATTTGAAATTTAAAAAAAATTTCATTTTTTTCAAAACTAATTTTACATAGTAAAACATTGCTGTTTCAAACCATTTCACATACATTTTGTCCCGAGTGCTTTGTCCGGCGCCCTGCCTGCATTTTGACTGTTTTTTCTGCCTGGAAACTTAGAAAAGTCCATGGCGTCCAAAAAGCGTCCCTTTATGTCAAAATTGGTTTTAGACCGGCTAGAGAACAGCGATAGTAAATCAGAACCACTTGCAGAATTGAGTGATAATGATTTGTGGGGGAAATTCGTCATCAGACACTGAAAACGATTTTGCGACTTTGCTCAGTGATGTGCGAACTTGGCGCTCTATTTCAAATTTCAGTGTTTTTGGTTTGATTATATTATTGAATTAAATTTATTATTATTATATTATTATTTTTTATGATTATTTATTAAATTATAATTTATGATTTTGTGTTTCAAGTTTTATCACACCCGGGATGTTTACTAGACTCTTGTTCAGACAGATTTCAGTAAGTTATTCCTAAAAATTACAGGCCTACAATAAAAAAAAATACATATTTTCATGCAAAAAAATGTACCACTTTAAGCACAGAAATATGGACATAATCAGACCGCTAGGGAGGTTAACTCAAAACACCTGTAAAGGTTTCCTGAGCCTTTAAATGGTCTTTAAATGGTCTCTCAGTCTGGTTCAGTAAGTTACACAATCATGGAGAAGACTGCTGACTTAACAGTTGTCCAGAAGACAGTCATTGGCACCCTCTAGAAGGAGGGTAAGTCACAAAAGGTCATTGCTAAAGAAGCTGGCTGTCCAAAGAGTGCTGTATCCAAGCATATTTATGCAAAGTTGAGTGGAAGGAAAAACCGTGGTAGAAAAAGGTTGATTTCGTGTTTCAAGTTTTATCATATCCGGAATATTTACTAGACTCTTGTTCGGACAGATTTCAGTGAGTTATTCCTAAAAATTACAGCCTACAATAAAAAAAAACTACGTATTTCCATGCAAAAAAAATGGTACCGCTTTCAGCACCAAAAAATCGGAAATAATCATACCGCCAGGGAGGTAACGTAAAAGAATACCCATAACTGAGGTGTCCGTTTATGAACCAGCAGTAATAGATCGATGCTCAGTTCTCTGGAATTCTCGGAGAACACAGTTCTCCTGTGAATGCCGTTTATGAAGCATATGTAGATCAGTTCTCCAAACGAAGGGAGAACGGTCTACAAACGAAGGGAGAACGGTCTACAAACGCTGGGAAACGGCTGATTTTACTATAATCTGGCGAGATTACAGTAAAAGATCAGTTTACTAAACAGAGGTAAATTATCTCTGCTTAGTTTGCGGTCCCTCCGATTCTCCAGCTCTGGGCTGGAGAATCTGGAGGGAGAACACAGATCTCCAGTGAAGAGCTGAACAGTTCTCCTGGGTGTCATAAACTGTGAATGACCAGAGAATAGCTGCGATCCTCTGAATCGCAGCTATTCTGTGTGTCATAAACGAACACCATAGTGCCTTATATGCTTTGAAAGCATAGTGGGTGGAGGTTTTTTGAGTTTAACATTTTTTCCTTAATATGGAGAATGTAGGTACCATTGCTTATGTCTTTGGAGGAGCAGATAATAAACATGTTTTTTTAGGTTCAGGTTTCTCTTATACAACTACTCCAAAAGAGGAACAAGCACCGGATGGCATCACCACTCCCATGTTGCTTTCCTAGTTTGAATCAATGCAAGACACCAAAACATTGTAGCCACAGACTTTAAAGGGCACATAGAACATGAAGTTTATTGTACAATGTTAAAAACACACATCAAAACCATGTCCAATACTTTAAACACAGGGTTCACAAATATTTTCCATCAAACGATCCGCATGTCACTTCAATGTGTTTTGAATGATCAAAGCATCTTAGGAGCACATACTGCATGAATACAATCTATGCAGTTGAACCAAGTTTTTTTAAAAACAATAGGTGTGTTTGTTGTCTGCTGAACCAAGGCTAGTACAAAGTGTCATTTCTAAGAGGGGGACACAATAGAGTGACAAAAAAGGCCAAAGGACATCCAGACCTTACACAAGGGATGCCATAAACAGACCACAAAGCCCGAAATGTCAGTCCTGTCTCAGAAGAAACAGTTTACAGGTCTCCAATGAAGGTCCAATACATCAGTACAAGCCCCAGAATGTAACCAGTCCTGCATTAACATCCAGTATCTCCCGGCAGTCTCAAAGGTGAGTCTATGCTTTGACTCCTTTATGACCTTTCAAAGTTTTAACCACTGCATTTTCTTTTTTTACAGATTAGGAGACTATTAGCTACAGTGTGGGTAAAAGTAGTGCAAGAAATAGGAGATTAGGGAAAGTTTCCTGCTTGCTCTGCAAGAACCCGGACCCGAAAAGGGGAGAAACTTCCCCTTCTGTAGTAGAGTGACCATCGTCTAGCATTCATGCAAATTTTTATTTTTAAAGAGGAGTTCCACCTGACCTATAAAAAAAAAAGTCAGCAGCTACAAAAACTGTAGCCTGCTGACTTTTAAAAAACAGCCACTTACCTGTCCCCTGGTCCCGTGGTGTGTCCCCCGCAGCTCGTATTCCAGGAGGCTGGCATCTTCAGTGTGGGCACCCGGCTGTGATAGCTTGCGGCTTCACAGCCGGGTACCCACTGCGCATGCGCGAGTAGCGCTGCACTTCGTGAATGGTCCTGTAGTCTTCTGGGATCTATCACGTGTCCCAAAAGACTACAGGGAGGACAACTTCCATTTCCAATCGCCTAGGCGATTGGACCAAAAGTGGGAGCAGGTACCTGTCAAATTTGGGTACCCGCTCCCTCCCCCACTCCCCAAAGGTGCCAATCCTTAATGGGGAGCGGGGGAGCAGTCCTTAAAGCGGAACTTCCCTTTTTGGGTGGAGCTCTGCTTTATTTCCATTTTTCGGGCTGGAAATCTTCCACTATGTTTTAGCTTAAAAAATGCTGTTCCACAGAGTCAGTCATATTAAACTGCAACATCCCAAAATGTGTTATTTAGTTCAATAAAGAAAACCATAAAGAAAAAAAAAAAAACAATTATACTATTATCCTGTTGTACATAGCAGAAAAAATGTCCATCTTCTGTTGCATTTCTACATTTGGCTTAAAATTTCCTTAGACAAATTAAAGCATTGTACTTTGTGATCACTAAACATACGGCTTATATTGCATGAAATTAATGATTTGTTATGGAGCATAGTAAAAAATAGGACTATCCAGTTCAACTTGCCAGGCTACCCCAGTCTAAAAATGGCTATTGTCGGCAAGGAACATGGATAGGTAAAACCCCTGTTTTTAAACGCACGTTCTTAGATTAATTCGGTTTTTGATAGTTGGCTAACTGGCTGGCAGTTTGAACTGGCTTTCTTATCCCCCTCTTTTGATAAGTTATACTATCCATGTTCCTTGCTGACAATGGCCATTATTAGACTGGGGTAGGCTGGCAAGTTGATCTGGATAGTCCTATTTTTTACTTTGTGACGCCTTCCATGTTCACTGTTTAACCTCCCTGGCGGTATGATTATTTCAGATTTTTGGTGCTGAAAGCTGGAATACCATTTTGCATGGAAATATGTATTTTTTTTATTGTAGGCTGTAATTTTTAGGAAAAACTCACTGAAATCTGTCCGAACAAGAGTCTAGTAAACATCCCGGGTATGATAAAATTTGAAACACAAAATCATAAATTATAATTTAATAAATAATCATAAAAATAATATAAAAATAATAAAAAATTTAATTCAATAATATAATCAAACCAAAAACACTGAAATGTGAAATAGAGCACCAAGTTCGCACATTGCTGAGCTCAGTCGCAAAATCGTTTTCAGTGTCTGATGAGGAATTTCCCCCACGAATCATTATCACTCAATTCTGCAAGGGTTCTGATTTACTATCGCTGTTCTCTAGCTGATCTAAAACCGCTTTTGACCTAAAGGGACACTTTTTGGACGCCATGGACATTTCTCAGTTTCCAGGCAGAAAGAACAGACAAAATGCAGGCAGGGCGCCGGACAAAGCACTAGGGACAAAATGTATGTGAAATGGGTTGAGACAGCAATGTTTTACTATGTAAAATGTAAAAAAAAAAATGACATTTTTTTAAAATTTTTAAATTTCCCGCCACCGGCGGCGGCGCCCGTACGTCCCGACATCACAGGGACAGGACACAGAAGCCAGATGCCGGCATCGGCCGGAGGAGATGGCCGGGGACGCTGCAGGGCACACATCGTGGGAGCGCAGGGTAAGGTAAGTGAAGAACACATGCCGGAGCAGCGCCGCATGGTATTCCCGAGTGTAGCTCGGGGTTACCGCTTTTGGTACTGAAATGTTACCCCGAGCTACACTCGGGAATACCGCCAGGGAGGTAAAAAAGCCAGTTATAGACCTGGGTAGGTGACCAGTTTTTTCTTTGTATGTTAATTTGGAGGTTCAGTGGGTGCATTGGACACCCTGGCTGCCGTTGTGCTACATGCTAGGTGTCAGGTGCGCTCCCATGACCTTAATGAGGGGGGGTTCCCTCAGGTTCACCTGCCCTTGTTTCTATCCATTTAACCTCCCTGACGGTATTCCCGAGTGTAGCTCGGGGTAAAGTTTCTGAACCAAAAGCGGTAACCCCGAGCTACACTCGGGCTTACCATGCAGCGTTGCATAGGGATTCCCTACAGCGCTTACCTTGTCCTTCGCTCCCGCGATGCATCCCCTGCAGCGTCCCCCGGCCATCTCCTCCAGCCAATGCTGGCATCCGGCTTCCGTGTTCTGGTCCCTGTGACGTCGGGACGTACGGGCGCCGGAACTGGCGGCAAATTTGAAATTTTTAAAAAAGCCTTTTTTTTTTTTAAAAAAATTATTATTACATAGTAAAACACTGCTGTTTCAAAACTTTTCACATACATTTTGTCCCGAGTGCTTTGTCCTGGCGCCCTGCCTGCATTTTGACTGTTCTCTCTGCCTGGAAACTTAGGAAAGTCCATGGCGTCCAAAAAGCGTCCCTTTTAGGTCAAAAGCGGTTTTAGACCGGCTAGAGAACAGCGATAGTAAATCAGAACCACTTGCAGAATTGATTGATAATGATTCGTGGGGGAAATTCGTCATCAGACACTAAAAACGATTTTGC